TGGCGTCTGCACGGGGAGGCAGTGCCACGAAAGCCCGGAGGAGAAGCCCGAGGAGATGCCGGAGGAGAAGGCGAGGGAGAAGCTGAAGGAGAAGAAGGAGAAGGAGAAGGAGAAGGAGGCCTCGCTGCTGAGTGCCACCGGCCACGGAAGCGCCGGAGCGGGCTGGGGGAGGAGCGTGGTGCCGCCCGGGACAGCTGCAGCCAGCCCTGAAGGCTGGGCCTCCCTCCAGCATGAAAGCAAAACCCCGCCGGGGGAGCCCGACAAATTAGGAAGCGCTGGGAATAATCCGTGCCCAGAGATAAGCCCGGGCACAGGGAGGGCAGAGGTGGCTGGGGGCGCAGCTGGCAGCCCCATCACTACCCCTGGGGGAGGAGCGTGGTGCCGCCCGGGACAGCTGCAGCCAGCCCTGAAGGCTGGGCCTCCCTCCAGCATGAAAGCAAAACCCCGCCGGGGGAGCCCGACAAATTAGGAAGCGCTGGGAATAATCCGTGCCCAGAGATAAGCCCGGGCACAGGGAGGGCAGAGGTGGCTGGGGGCGCAGCTGGCAGCCCCATCACTACCCCACAGACCCCTTTAGTGGCAGGCGGAGCTGCCAGTGCCCACCACAGCCTCTGTGAAGCACCCCAAGAGCCAGTGGGAGAAGCTGAAGGGTTTGGTCCTTTTTATTATACCAAAGAACTTCAACACAAACAGTACAAATCAGAATGAAAAGTCACACTGAAAACGTCAAATAAATTAAAAATGCCTTTGCAGAAACTTAAATAAAAGAGATAAACATTACTAAATAGTCTGACAAATTCACAGCCAGTAGGAAAAAAGGGACTTGTGTCAGAGGTGCCCATGAGAGAAGGTCCTCACAGAGGTGATGCCTGGAGGGAGCAGGGTGCTGTTCATCCACTGCCTTTCCTGTCCTTCTGTGGATTCACAAGGTCCTGGACCCACTTATCACTGAGTTTGCCACAGACCTTCTTGTCTTTGACTGTGGTAAATCTGCAGAAAGAAATCCAGATTTCAGAATCAGAAAGAGGAGAGGAGAAGAGAGGAGAGGATAGGGAACCACCTGCTCCTTGCCACTAGTGAACCCCACCAAACCAGACACTTGTATAGCTGCAGAACAGCCCCAGGGAAGCACAGTGTGGAGGCTGACTCAGTGTAATTCTGGGTGTCTTGCTCTCTGCCATATAAGCCACATTGTCCCCAGCACGCCTGCTCCAGCTGGGACACCACCCTACCTACCTAGGCATGAGGAGGGTGACCAGCAGGAGCTCTTTTGGCTCAGATCTAACAGGGAGTTCCAGAAATTTGCTGCCTGGGACATGGGATCAGCCTCTGAGATGTTTCCACACTACTCTCCTACCACAGGGGAGCCCAGCACGGTGTTTTCCCTTGCCAAAAGGTGGTGAGATGTGGAGTTTCCTGGCACTGCCACCCTCCAGCAGAGCAGGGCCACCTAGGATTTGGGCAGGAGGTGTACTCACATCACGGCTGGCTGGAAGCAGTGGCTGCCTGTGTACTCATAGCTCACCACGAGTTTTGAGGGAAGCTCTTTGGGGACATATTTGATGCAGCAGGGACCAAGAAAGTCCAGAGAAACTGGAAGAGAAGTTAAGTTTTCTGATTAAATCGGAGCAAGAAGAGTGGCAGTGAGGAGAAGCAGAGTCAGAAGGTGAGGAGGTCCCCACTGGAGGAAGTGCTGCTCCCACCATCCTTCCCTCAGGAATCCAAGGACTTGCAAGACATGCTTCTCCTTTCCTGCAGGAGATGTTTGGAAGGGAGAGCTGCCACTCATTACTAGAATTATAGAGCAGGAGGAAAAAGGAGAGAGCTCCTCATAGAGGAGAGTTTGGACTCACTTGGAGAAGAGGAGACCTGGTAGCAGAGGACAGCCACAAAAAGTCCAGCAAGGGCAGCTGTGGAGGTCTTCATGGTTCTGCTGGGTGAGGATGAACTGTAGGAGTCGGGCTGTGCTGCTGCAGAGTGACTCTTGCCGTGCCTGGCAGGAGATGCCTCTCAGCCCCCCTTATATAGGCCAGAGAGTCCGTGGGGACGGAAACGTGCCAGAAACGTTGCTGGAAGATGAGACAATGGGCAAAGTGCTGTGTCAAGGGTGCCAGGCAGCCCTGCAGGGGAAGTGCCCGGCGCCCCGCGGAGAGCAGTGCCCTGACGTGGCATGTTACACACTGGCAAAATACCATGAAATGATGGAGAACAGGATATGACCTCTCCTTTCCTTTCCCCTGACCAAAGCGCTCTGCAGGCAACCTAGAAGTGGCAATTCGGAAGAAGAGTAAATGGACTTCTTGTCTAGAAGTCATACGACAGCGATGGATGGAGAATGACTGTCACCGCCACACACTCATGCTTCCCAAAATATCTGCATCACACACAATCTGGGGTCTGCCTGCTCAGCAGGTCGGTCAGGCACAGGGCAGCCACACCCTGCCCTGCTTGCAGTGATGGCCCGAGGAGATGGGAGCTTTCTTCAGGTGACCCAGAAGGCCACCAGTGTGTCAGTGGGCAGAGCAGAGGGTAGAGCCTGGTGTCATCCCAGGTCTGGGCTTCTCTTCTCTGCAATGAGTTATTAGGAAACTATAGGGTCTAGAGCACAAATCTGGTGAGGAGCAGCTGAGGGAGCTGGGGGTGCTGAGCCTGGAGCAAAGGAGGCTCTGGGGAGACCTTCTGGCTCTGCACAGCTCCTGACAGGAGGCTGGAGCCAGGTGGGAGTCGGTCTCTTCTCCCAGGGAACAAGCTGTTGGACAAAGGAAGTGGCCTCAAGTTGCACCCGGGGAGGTTTAGGTTGGAGATTAGGAAAAAAATGTCTTCCCTGAAAGGCTTGTCAAAGCTCCAGTGGTGGAGTCCCCATCGCTGGAGGGGTGTCCAAGCCATGGAGATGTGGTGCTGAGGGACATGGGTCACTGGTGCCCTGGCAGTGCTGGGGGAATGGTTGGACCTGGTGATCTTAAAGGTCTCTCCCAAGCAAAACACTTCTAAACTGGTCCTGTCACTACACTGCAGTTTCACAAATACCACTGACAGCTCAGATAGCACTACGTTATCCGGGGACATGAGAATCAGTCAGGAATCTTTACAAAGAGCCTTAGAAGCTCATGACCACGTTGGCACAGCAGAGTTGGCTTAGATAATTATTGTCCCAGCAGGGTAGAACCGACACCCTCCTGACACTGCTTTGTCACTGCCCCAGCAGTCACAGACACACACAGAAGAGACTTGCTGGTTTAGTTCCTATTGCTTGGGACAGAAACGGTGTCACTGCACTGGCAGAAACACTCCTGTTGGGAATGCTACATCCTACAGAAGGGCTCTGCTGACTTCCAGGAGAAGCCTCAGGAGAGCAGAGGAGGAGTGAGGTCTTCATGGAGCTAGTGAGTGCGTCCACAGTGGCAGTGGGAAAGCCACACAAGCCTTTCAGGATGGTCCAGTGAAGATGCAGGTCCCCTGCTCTGAGCAGCTGAGGATCTCAGAACTCACCAGGGATTCTGCCTGCTCTATAATCCCCTTGTCCTGTGCTCCAGAGTCCATCCTAGGCTAGGATGAGCCCTTGCACCTCCGAGGGCATGAGGTCCCACCACCAATGTCCTGGCTTGGATCCACTCTCCCCAGTACTGCACAGAACAGGGCTAGCAGGTGTCAGCCTGCTGCTGGTCCATCCTTCCAGGGGTCAAGAGTTGCTCATCTTGCCTGAACAGCAGGGAGCCCAGGAGAGTGGCTGTCCTGGGAAGCTGCCAGCAAGAGGCCAGGCAGAGAGCAGCATGGCTGGTATGAGATGTTAGCACTGACAGCAGCAGAGCCAGCCTGGAAGGAAGGTGTGTGCCAAGTCATGACCCCAAATCCACAGCACCTCTGCACTCCCTTTGCCTCCCCTTTCCAGCTCTTCCTGCGCAGAGAGCAGCATGGCTGGTATGAGATGCCAGCACGGACAGCAGCAGAGCTAGCCTGGAAGGAAGGTGTGTGCCAAGACATGACCCCAAATCCACAGCATCTCTGCACTCCCTTTGCCTCCCCGTTCCAGCTCTTCCTGCAACCTGTGTCCACCTGGGGCAGAGAGACAGCAGCTCCCCTCCATCCCCACACCCAATCCAGCCACACTGCACCTCCAGCCTAGCTGTAAGTGACTCCCCTCACCTCCAGGAACTCTGGGCACCCTTTTTTCCCCCAGTTGTTGCTCAGGGATGCTGTAGAAGGTATAGCTGAAGCTGGGCTCCTGGGCAGAGAGCAGGGAGTATGGGCAGGAGCTGCCTGGACCATGCAGGTCCCCTTGCACTCCCCTGTCCCCATGGGGCTGGCCATGCACGACTGGTGGACGTGCTGCCTGAGACAAGAGACGTGACAGCTTGACGTGCCCAAGGTACCAGACCAAGACTGACACCCCTGCCTGAGGCTACAGACAGCAGATTGAGGCTGGGGGTGCTAGAAGCAGGTTTGGAGATAAATCTTGGAGAGTGGCAGACTGGGAAACACATGGAGAGATGAGACTGAGATCAGGATGAGGAGATGAGATGAGATGAGATGAGATGAGATGAGATGATCATGATACAAGGATGACCTGCTAACCTAGATGTCACCATCTCCCACTTTCATTCCCCTGCTCCTTCCATCCCTACCAGTGGGTTCAGACCCAACATTTGCACACATTCCCCTTTCAGACCACTCTTAACATTCCTGTTACACATCTCCACACAGGGACTAGAATAAAACTGAGAGGAGGAGAACAGGCTGGGGAGTGAGCTGGAGATGTCGTCGCTGATGTAGCTCACACCAACACAACCCAGCTTGAAGCTGCTTTTAGCTGAATGTTCTGGATGTTCTTGCAATATTCAAATACGGGTTTGATGGAAATGTCACGATGAATTTTGAAAAATCAATATTTTCTACCAGGAATATACATGTGCCTAGACATTTTCAGTGAATTCTCTCTCCTTTCAGATACACCAGGCTGTGTTTCCTGCTTCCATTCATCTCAAAAGGAATTCTTGGAGGTTTTGACACCTCTGTTATTCCCCTTATTCACTGTTTTCCTCAACAACGTTCCTTCCTTTAAGGAAGAGTTTCTATTTCACTCTTGGCTGCTCCTTCCTGCCAAGACAAATAACACAAATCTCTAAATATTTTGATTTCTAAAACCTCCTCCATATCATACATCCTAAACAGTAGCTATTTATGGAGGCTGTAAAACCTCTGCCTTATGGTGCGTTTCAGCTTTCGATAGAAACCACACATGGTATCTTTGGATCCACCACCAGAACAGATTTGGGATGCAGGAGGAAGTCTTTTCTTAGCCCTGCATGCAGCCTGCTCCACCACATCGACTCCGAGGTTGGCGTGATGTCTGGGGGATCACATTATCCCAGTGCCCCTGGGAGCTGCCACATCACTAATGTGGGAAACTCTGGTTTCAACTGGGAGCAAACGAGCTGAAAACAGAACGAGAATGCCTGGGGGAAGTCAGCACTCACAGGGTGGTGTGGTCCCAAGAAAGACAAGCAACATTGCAGACAAGAAGGGGTCTTCCCTTGATTTTCCAGGGGGATCAAGATTCTCCAGCATGGGAACTGCAGTCTGGAGAACGATGAGGGGATAAATCGTGATTATTCACTGCCTCTCCCAGAGCAAGAGCCGTGGGCCATCAAATGAAGCTGGTAAAAGCCAGGTTCAAAATGAACAGAAGGAAGCAGCTCTTCACACGAGGAGCTCCTTGCCAAGGGATGTGGTGATCGTGAGGAAATTTCCATGTGTCTGAGTCATGGCTTGGGTTTCAGAGCGATAAGCTCGAGAAGATTTGCAAAATGAGAATGGCTGGGGGCTGGGAGTGCACTCGAGTGAGGCAGCACCAATATTTGCCTGTCTCTTCAAGGGGTCTGCTGTGGCCAGACCTGGAGATATTGAGGCTGGACTAGAGGGACCCTTAGTCTACATCCTCTGGGACAGTTCATATCTGATTCCCCAAGACAGTCAGACCTAAGGGACCAGAAGGTCTCTAACATAGCTCGTGAAATTTCATTGAAACCCCTGGACTGAAGTTGATATATCAGGATGTGCCTCCAGATGAGTATTTTTGGGAAATGTCAGCAGAAAGACATCAACCACTTCCAAGCATGCAGCCAGGCAGAAATATAGAGCTGCAATTTGTGCCACTTCCCAAGACAAATTAGGGGTGCTGAGAAAAGCCTGACTTGTGGACCAAGCGCCTGAAGAGCGGGAGGTGGCCAGCTGCTGGATCAGGATGTGACCCTCACAGAAATTGGGTAGTGCTTCCAAGGACAGGCTTCCAAAGGCAGCCAGACACTTGTACCCTTGTTGCCCTGAAGGTGCCCTCAGCACCGAGCACCATCCTGCCTGGAGCTGAGCAGGGTTTGCCCAGCAGCTCTAGTGTCTGTTTTAGCGACGTCAGCAGAGACTCAGAGGAACTAAAAGCAAAGCCACTGGGGTGCCAGCTTGGAGACATCCAGATGACATTGCTGAGCACTGGGCACACCACGACACCTGGCACTTGCAAAGTCTGCCTCCTGTTGTCTTCAGCTGAAGGCACCTGTGATGTCTGCAGGTCAGACTGTAAGTTTTCAGGAATCTAGCAAATCCAGACAATGCTCCACAAGAGCACTGGTGAATGTTGGGCTATGGCCATGTCATGAAGGGAACAGGGACAGAGTGGCTCTGCAGAGCTGCAGCCCACCCCTTCCTGCAGCCCCTGCCTCATGCACTACCCAGCACTTCTGCAACAAGCACAGGGTCCTGCACATCACCAGGACACCCTAGGTCAGACACAGAAAATCTTTTCTTCTCATCACGTTCTGGTAGCCAAAGGGTGTCTCATACAGTCTGGGGAAGGGTCTAGAGCACAAGTCTGGTGAGGAGCAGCTGAGAGACCTGGGGGTGTTCAGCGTGGAGAAAATGAGGCTCAGGGGAGA